ATCCTCCACAACTAGACTGAAGAACAAAAACGACAGCAACTTGTCTGTTCCCCTTCCCCCAATTCCCCAGCACTGTTCCCATCCCCCCATTTCCCCAATAAAAATCTTTAAAAAAAAGAAAAAAGAAAAAGAAAAGAAAAATTAGTGCTTCCTCATCCACCTTATTCACCGGATCTGGCACCATGCGACTTCTGGCTCTTCTCCAAAGTCAAAATGATTCAGGACATCGAGGCAGCCACGACAGCACAACTAAGGATACTCACAAAAGAGGATTTCCAGAACTGCTTCAGAAAGTGGCAAGGACGATGGGATAAGTGTGTTCGAAACAAGGGAGAGTATTTTGAGGGCAATTAATGGTAATATCTTTTACTGTAATAATTTTTTTAAATTTAAATAGTCACTGTATTTGTTGATCACAACTTGTATTTAGTTAAGAAAGGATGGGCCCTAATCCAGTATGACTAGTGTCCTTAAAAAGGGGAAATTTGGGCCGGCCAAGTTGCTCAGTTGGTTAAGAGCACAAGCTCTGAGCAACAGGGTCACTGGTTCGATTCCCACATGGGCCAGTGAGCTGCGCCTGAGCCAAGCTGCTACTGAGCTGCCAACAGGTGGCAGGATGGCTCAGCTGGCAAGAGCACATGATCCTAACAACAAGGTTTCTGGTTGACTCCCACATGGGATGGTGGGCTGCACCCACCCATAACTAAGATTGAACACGGCACCTTGAGCTGAGCGGCTGTGAGCTGCCAACAGGCAGCTGGATGGCGATGTACTTGGAGCTGAGCTAGCTGCGCCCTCCACAACTAAGGCTGAAGGACAACAACTTGGCTGTTCCCCTTCCCCAATTCCCAACACTGTTCCCCCTCCCCAATTCCCCAATAAAATCTTTAAAACAAAAAAAAAGGGGGGGGGGATTTGGACACAGAAGCAGACATAGAAGGGCGATCTACAGGAAGAAGACAGCCTTTTACAAGCCAAGGAGAGGGGCCTGACCATACCCTCTTCTCACTGCCTTCAGAAAGAACCAACCCTGCCAACATCTTGATTTCAGACTTCTGGCTTCCAGAACTGTGAGAGAATAAATTTCTGTTGCTTAAGCCTCCCAGTTTGGTAATACAGGGAAGGCGCATAGGGATTGCTTTTACAGAAGAAAGAACTAGGAGGCTGGATTCCAAGCCTGCTCCCACCTGCTCCAAGACGCAGAACACAGGAAGCTGTTAATCCATCACACACAACAGACCACACCTGAAGCCTACTGAGCAAAAAGACTGCATCATGGCCATTCCCACAGTACCTTCCAAAAGTTCAAGGTANTTTGACTGCGCACTTTAAAGCAGACAACGTGTAGACAGAACACGGACAGCCCCACAAGTCCTAGCGTGGTGAAATGTGGTAAAGCAAACCAATTGCTCTGCAGAACACAACTCTTGATTTAAAGACCAGAATTGGGGCGGCCAGTTAGCTCACTTGGTTAGAGCGCAAGCTCTGAACAGCGGGGCTGCTGGTTTGATTCCCACATGGGCCACTAAGCTGTGCCAGTAAGCTGCGCCCTCTATAGCTAAGATTGTGAACAATGGCTTAACCTGGAGCTGGGCTGCCGTGAGCTGCCGTGAGCCATGGCCAGTAGCAAGTGTGAGTGGCCAGCAGTCAGCATGAGAGGCCAGCAGCCAGTGAGAGTTGCTGTGAGCTGCCGTGAGCCGCCATCCAATGGCTGGTGACCGACTGCCTCAGCTGGGAAGAGCGCAATAATCATAAAACCAACATGGGCCAGTGAAATGGTGTCCTCCACAATTAGACTGAGAACAACAAGTGGCTCAGAGGTGGGAGGTGGGGGGTAGAGTGGGAGTGGGGGTGAAAGGGGGGGAAGACCAGAATTTTCCCTGTGGATCCTGTTATGAGTTGAATCATGTCCCCCAAAAATTCATTTGTTGAAGTCCTAGCCCCCAGTGTCTCAAAATATGACCTTATTTGGAAGTAGGATCACTGCAGATGTATGAGGTGTGATCAAACAAAATGGTGAATTTTTAAACTAAAAAAAATTTTATTACAGTTAAAGACATATTGCCATTACTCCCCCTCAAAATATTCCTCCTCGCTTTGAGCACACTTATTCCATTGTTCTTGCCACTTTCTGAAGCAGTTCTGGAAGTCCTCTTTCCTGAGTGTCTTTAGTTGCACTGTTGTGGCTGCCTCTATGTCCTGAATCATTTTGACTTTGGGGAAGAACCAGAAGTCGTGCGTGTGACACAGAGCGTTGTCATGGTAGAGAATGATTTATGGCACACTTTAAACACACCTTCTCTCAACTGTAGCTCACACCCGACTGACTGCACCAAACAAGTTGAAACTTGTCACACAGTTACTAAGGTTCCCGTATTGAAGATCCCTGCCTTTCCATTGGATGGCACTCGGCAGCAGCATTCACTGTATTTTGTGATCACAACGGAAAGGCTCTGTGTCACACATCACTTCTGATACGAAAATTTCTGTCAAATAAAAACATTACAGGGCCGGCCAAGTGGCTCAGTTGGTTAAGAGCTTGCTCAAGAGTGCGAGCTCTGAGCAACATCAGTTCGATGCCTGGCCCGAGCTGAGCTGCCGCTGAGCTGCCAACAGGTGGCAGGATGGCTCAGCTTAAAAAAAAAAAA